TTTAATAGTTGATTGTAGGGGAGAAAATGGTTGAATTTTTCCTGCTCCTCTACAAATGGTTGTAGGGGAGCAGGAAAACTGTTCATCGGGGGGTGATTCAACGTAAACTTCGCCACCTCGTTAACGCGGAGGACAGGGACTTGGGGTCTTGCAAAGTTTTTAAAACTGCAAAAATAATCGAATTTAGTTCTAAAAAATTTGGATTATAATGAGCCTTTATTTCGGAAATATCGATTATAAGGGACAAATTTTGACAAAAAATAACCGCTTTCAGAGCTTTTTCCTACTTTCATCACACCTGAAAACCAATTTTGAAAAACCATTTCATTGTTGTCATAAGGCTACGAAAAGAATTGGCATAATGAACAAAGTAAGTAATTCGAACAGTTTTATTCTTTATACTCTAGGTTGTAACATCACGCATTTAGTTGAAACAACACCATATTAAAAAATAAAACAGAAAATTTGAGCGGAAAGTGCAAAAGATTTTATTTCAGTTCGAATACATTCTAATTTACAAGGAGAGCGCACGCGTTTTTTGGTCAGTACTTACTTCTTTTTCAAAAATTTGCAATGAGCACAGAACAGTTTATGAAAAAGAAAGATCCTTAAAAGAACGTTCTGAGAGCGCCCAGAATATAAATTTGTTCAACCTAAAAAATTCGACAAATTTGAAAAGCCGACCAAAGAAAGTCGACGAACGAATTTTTGAAAATCCGCCCTCCCCCAGGAAAAAATTCTGGATCCACCTTGATTCCAAGTTCTCAATTTGTAAGCAATGCAAATCCTTTTCTGTCGAAGCAGCTTTTCGTACTAAATTAAGCGAGGTTTTCAAAAAAATACATGTTATATGCAAATTTAAAAATATATATATTTAAGAAGCTCAATCTGGATGTTCTAACATCTAAGATTGTCAAAAATAATGAGTATGTGAAGAATTAGCCGCAAACTTAGGAGCTTGAACTTGAAAAGCTGGGAATAGTCGATAAAGAAAACTGGATACACGATGCTAAACCACTCAATTAGAATCTAGTCGTATCTAGAGAACGCAAAGATTGAGAGGTCTGAAATTGCTCAAGAATGTTTGCACAGCATGAAGAGATGCTAAGGCAACTCCAAATTGAAAGCAACGGATTAGGCCAGCCTGGCATTTCGATATGACACAATTCAGTTTGATTGTCCACCCGAACAGAAAAAAAATATATTTCTGACTGGAATACTTTGTATATAATCACATTTTCTGGTCAGAAATTCTTTGTGAAATGTTTAAATAAAGCAGTGATTTAAAAAAAAAAAAAAACTTATTTTTCATCTTATTTCTGATCAGAAATTAGCTAAATCTAGGCTTTTGTAATCTTGGCTAGGTAATTAATCTATATAATATTTCTATCTAGAAAAGCAGCCTTCTTTGGATGCGCGCAGCAAAAGTTATAAGAAGCACTTCAAGACTCTCGGTTAGCTAAAGAACTCAAATTCCAGTGCACTGTAAACTCAAGCACTGATGGAGAAGAAAGAGACGAATACCCGCACTCAGTAAAAAAAATAAAGTAATTGATTAAATTACAATTATAGTTGTACTTTTATCAAACTTATAATTAATTATAAGCGCCAAATTTAGATGTTTGAACGATTTATAATCCATTAATATGACAACATTTTTCGGACTTTATAATAAATTATAATCAATTATAATTGATTATAATTTTTCCTAAAATCTTTTTTAATCTCCTATCATCTAATATATTCTCTTATAATCTTTTTTAATCTCTTACAATCAATTAAAATCTATTCTAATAGATTAAAATATTTTTTGTCAAAAATCTCTAAGAGTGAGATGTCTTGTCACTCTTTGGTTCATCTGAACACAAAGTGTTACCACGAAACAAAAGTTTCATAGAGATCCCTTCATATTAACTGAAAGAATCCCGCGACAGGTGAAATTTAACTCTTCTATAAAAATTATGAAACTAAAGCAGTTTGCTGATATTTGGGGGTCAAAAAACTTAAAATGTGCATCATGAAACAATTATAATCCAGAAGAAATGAAAAAAAAAACGCTACAAATTTGAATTGATTTGAAAACTGCTAAAACAATTTTCCCATTTCTCTTATAAGTCAACGTCTACGAAAAGCATAAAATACGAGCATTTCAGTTGGAAGGCGGATGACAAAATGGGCAAACAAAAGGGATTATGAACAATTATAATCGATTATTAAGCATTTTTTCTGCAAAACAAATAATTTAGAAATGCGGATTACAATGATCGATTATAATCGATTATAATATATTATAGATGATTATATTTGATTTCAAAAAGAGATAATATAATTGATTAATAATTGATTAAAATCAGTTTTTTCTCAATTTTTGTAAGACTGTCACTAAAATCATATTATAATCGATTATTAACGCTTGAAACTGGATGCGTATATGATGAAAGATATGAAAAAATACCAAAAATTGTGAAGATCCTCCTCAAAATCAGGATCGAGAACGAGATCAACGATATGAGGTTTATTGCACATTTCTGAAAAACTAAAACTTGTAGCGCTGGACGAGCACTGAATCAATTTTAGTTATTGCTAAACTGGCACTGACGGAGGCCCTCCCATTGATGTCAATCCTTGCATTTACACTAATTCAAGCTAAAATTTTTTATGAGTTCAACCCATATTTTTATTTTTGAAAAAAAAGTTGAGAATTACTATTTGATCGGACCCAAAATTTTGCCAATTTTGTGTATATGAAAACCTTTCTGCTCAATTGTTACTTTACAAAGTATTCAATTTATGTTATAGTCTTGTAATACTCTTCGCCAGATTCAAGGCTCGCAAAGCAGTATCTGCAGCTTCCTTTCTAGCAAGATATTCAGTTTGCGCTTTAGTTTTGAAAACCTATTGAAAACCTATTGGTATTCGAAAATCAGCGTTGTTCACAAGATAATCCATAAAATTTCCAGCGTAATTCTCTCAGTAGATTCAGATACGTATCTCTCGCCAGCAATCGAGACGTTAGATTTCAGATCAAAATGAAAAAAGATTCAAAAGTATGTAAATCTTTCGAAACAGCAACCACAGAAAAGAGGCTTAGAATATTTTTGATCATGTCACGACACTTTTTTCGCGAGAAAATCCTCTGGATTTTTTTCCGATGCATGTTTTGGTTGACCCTAATTTCATCTACAACCGGGTTCGTTCCGCGACTTAAGAAAAGACTTGCGCGACTTTATATTGACAATTACAGACTTGTCAAAAGAAGACCGGCGCGACTGAAAAAAAAACAGCGCGACCGACTCGACTCAAAAAACCGTCGGGACCGGCGTGGCATAAGGAAGCGGCCCGACCGGTGCGACTGAAAACAGGGGTGGATCCAGGACTTTCAAAACAATGTCAAAAAATTAGTTTGTCGACTGTTTTTGGGGTCGACCAAATTGATTTGAGAGCTCTATTTTGAGAAAATTTTCATTTTTGGCGTATATTGGCGTATCATTTTTGGCGTATCAAAATTAGTGTATATTGGCGCCTTTAAATTAGTATATGTTGGAGTCGGTCAGCCAAAAATGGATATCTCAAAAAAGTACAAAGAGTGACCCTTTGGGTTGTCATGGGGCGAATCCTTGAGGAGCAGGTGGTCCACACCCCCCCAAATCCGCCCCTGACTGAAATTTTTCATTTCCGGACCAGCGCGCCTGAGAATAAATCGCCGCGACATGCGCGACTGAGCAAAATACCGAAAGTTTTTTCTTGAGGTGCGCCGTCAGAGTTTTCATAAGCTGTGCCTCTAAAATCTTTTCATAAGTCGCGCCACCAAAGTATTTTTCTAAGTCGCGCGGTCAGTTTTTTCTTAAGTCGCGCCGTCGGTATTTTTATAAACTGTGCCTCTAAAATCCTTTTATAAGTCGCGCCGCCAAAGTAATGTCTTAAGTCGCGCCGTCAGTTTTTCTTGAGTCGCGTCGTCGGTCTTTTCGTAAATCGCGCCGTCAGTCTTTTCTTTAAGTCTCGCCATCAGTCTTTGCTTAGGTCGCGCCTTCAGCATTTTTTTAAAATGTGCCTCTAAAATCTTTTCATAAGTCGCGCCGCTAATGTCTTATAATAAGTTGCGCCGTCAGTTTTTTCTTAAGTCGCGCCGTCGGTTTTTCAGTAAGTCGTGCCGTCAGTCTTTTTCGTAAGTCGCGCCGTCAGTCTTTTCTAAAGTCGCTCGCTTAAGTCTTTTCTTAAGACTGACGCCACTACTTAAGAAAACACAGACGGCACGATTTTAAACCGCGGCGCGACTGCGAAATTCAGTCTAAAAACGTTATGCAGCGTGACTTACAAAGTCTTTTCTTAAGTCGCGGACGTCAATCTGGGTATGTTTTGACTCTGATCGACCGAAAAGAACTTTTTTGACCGAGGTGCGGTGACCGAGGAGTTGGTCGGAAAACTTGGAATTATCAGAACTCATCACAACTATACCCGTACCTAACGGAAGCGGTTTTTCTAGATAGAAATTCTATGTAGATTATCTAGCTTAGTTTTCTCGTATTTTCCGTGCAGAAGTGATCTATTCTTTTCTAGTTTAGAAACAAACAGTTAACTCTTAGAAACAAACAGTTTAGAAATCAGTTAACTGCTCAACCGCAACAAGATAAACATGCTTCGAGTATACACAATAGCAATAGCGAATACAATGCAAACTTACACTTGTTATAACATTCTTATTCTTCTAAAACCATGGTAATATATCAAGGGATGTAGCCTAGAGAATAGAGGATATGTCTAGTAAGCAGAAGGTCCGGGAGAGTTTTTCTAGCTAGAAATAGCCTAGATTTAGCTAATTTCTGATCAGAATTAGGATTAGAAATAGAGTATTCAAAGAAAATCCATGCTTTATTTAAACATTTCAAAAAGAATTTCTAACCAGAAACTAGATTAGATTACAAAGTATTTCAGGTCAGAAATAAAGAATTTTCTCGGTACGGGTAATTCTCAGTCTTTTTTTAAAAAAAAAGAACTCTTACCTGTATCTCGCACAATACATACGGATATATTTGCCTGCTTCAAGCTCGTTGGAACCTCAAAATTTCACCTTCTTTGAAATGTATTTAAGGAACAGTTTTCTGCAGCAATGATCGTAAAGAAAAAGAGACTTAGTTTGCAAAAAATTGTCAGATTTGTAGGATTTTGGCGCTTGACTTTGTAATAAATAACTGACTGACACAGTTTTGTAGTGCTTGAAGGATAACTGTAAAAATATCACAAAAACCAAATGTTGTTCTGAGTAAATACTGTACAGCGTAGTTAGTTACACTTTTCCATTGCTGCACTTTTTCATTGCTTAATAAAAATTGCTGTTGTTTTAACTGAGCGGAGCGCTTATCTTTTCCGATAAGATGCCACAAAGCTTTTTTGAAGGCGCGATTCTTTGATGTGCGGCGGCTGTCTAGACTAGAAAGAAATAAATCTACTTGATATGGGATAAAATGTTCAGCTTTGAAGTGTTTGTGTGTGTGTGTGTGTTTGTGGCGACCGAATGTGTTTCAGCTGCTTTTCCTCAATTAGTCCCAAGAGCAAGTTCGAAGAAAGAGCGACTGTCCCTGCTCATTTGGCCCGGGTTGAGGTCCCACTCAAGTCCAGACTCTGTGGGTCGCGCCGCATTCGGATTCAGACCCCAGTCGCGCCGAGAGTTTGAGTCTGGAAAGTCAGCACAGTAGTGTCGCGCAGTGGGTCTCGAAAGTATTGACACACATTTTCCAGACTTTCGCGACTTTATGTCCAGACTTTCTTTTCTAATATTATCAATCGTACACTTAGCGCCTACTCTTTTTGCCTCATATTGATTTTCGCGCCAGCTCATCAAACTTTCAAAAATTTGAAGCCACCATTGTTTTGTTAGTTATTAAATGAAACCACTGGAAACAAATGCAGCGCTTTGAGTTAGTCAATTAGCTTCACTCTGGAGCAAATCTTTAAGCGCAGCCTCATTTTCTTGCTCAAAATTTTCGGGGATTTGAAGTTTTCAAGACGTCGTTTTGCAACAGAACTAATAACCCTTTCCATATCTATAAACAATTCAGAATATTACAGAAAAAAAAACACAACATTAGCAACAACTTTTCTACTATCCTTGAAAAAACAAAGCGGGTTTAAATTCATAATGATGTTCTTACATGAAAAGATTTCTTGGCTCTAATACGTTTAACCTCATATCATCAATCTGGTACTATCGAATACCTTGATGAACCTATCCAAATCATTTCTCCCCGGGTTGACCAAAACTGCTAGTCTTTTCATGCAATTCCATAAGTACAGAAAATTGCACGAAAGGTTTATGATTATAATTTTTCTCAATTGAAAACTGTATGACTAGCGTTTTTCCATAAACCAAGAAAAAAGATTTTTTTTTAATTTCTCAAAAAATTTGGGATGTGTTCGTGAACGAATACAAGTGACAAAAACTATGGCTTACTCAAAACTACAGTAAACAAAGGATTCTCGTCTTGCATTTACAATGCAGTGGGAACGACCTGAATTTATAAAAAAATTTCTTACACAAATAAAATACTGAAATCACCAAACTTTTAAACGTTGGCAAAAATTTTTAAAGATGATTATTTTTAACTTTTGAGTTTTTAAAATATCAGACATTGATCAATGCATACTTAAACATGCCATACATAAAGATGAGAGTTTTAAGCGTTTTCGAAAAAATATATATTAAGAGAACCGGAAGAAAATTCAATATGTTATGCACATCAAAAAACTAATTTTTGAATGCAAAATTTTTTTTTGGAAAATAGTTATTCGAGCACAAAATTCGGTTTGCCGTTGGAAAAAAATAACACACATTTTTTTTTATGTGAATAACGTACTCTTGGATACTCCTGCGTTTCAAAATTTACTTATCCTGCGTTTCAAAATAACTTCGAAAATTTTTTGTTGTCGCCATCAAAAAAAGCTACTCATACAATTTCCATCTATAGAAATTGTATGATTCGTATTTTTTTGACAAATAAGTTTTCTTGTTTATTTGGTAAAATACATCGAATTTTATGCCAAAACAAGAAAAAATTTCTTTAAAAATTTGATGACACCATATTAGCAAAATCTATGAAATTTGTATGGTCAGTGGTTTTTCACAGACTTAGTTTATGGAATTGTATAATAGGCATTTTTGGTCTATAGAGGTCAACCCGGGTTAAAAGCCGAGTATATTTTATCTGATCAGTATTTTCAGTTGAAGTGCATCTATTTCATCCTCATAATTTTTTAATTTGAAGATCCAATCGTAGATATGTTCCATAATAGCTAAATAGGTAAATAGACATATGAAGTGTTACCAAAAAAAAACGCTGAATAACCTTTGAATGTCAATAGGCTTAAGTTCAGCGCAAAAATCAGCCAAAGTGTTCAAGCGCTACCGGCTGGGGTTGAACTCCATAGACCAAAAAAGCTAGTCAAGAAATTTCATAAGCTACGTCTATAGAAAAACCTACTCATACAATTTTTATACAATTTTGCTCTAATGGTGTGAAACATTTTTAAAAGATATTTTTTCTTGCTTTGGCAAAAAAATTCGGTGTATCATGACAAGCAAAAAAGATAATTTTTTTGTTAAAAAAAGCTGATCATGAAGTTCCATAAATTGAAAATGTATTAGTAGTATTTTTTGATCGGGCACCAAAACTTTTATCAAATTATTTAGAAAAAAAACATTTTCCATTAAATTTTTTTTTGCACGCAAAAATTAAGCGTTTTGTATTCATAAGCTAGTCCTGGATTCACAAAACATGAGTTTTTCGGTTTCTCTAGATAACAATTTTTAAAAACCCTCAAACATTTTTAGAAGTTTCGGTGACTCTAGCTTTGATTAATCAGGGTCTTTGTCTCCTGTCATGATTCGCTTTATAATTGATGATCACTCTCATATACTTTTTGCTATTTAAATCTTTGGTAAATTTGACTTTGTATCTTGCATCCTATAGAAAGCTGTAGTAATGGAATCAAATTCAAACAAGTTATTTATATCCAACTATATTCCTTGATAATATTCACTGTCAATATTTATAACTAACCAATAATGATCCTTTACTGAAACTTATGATAAAAAGGGACGCTGAAACTTTTTATAGTTTCAGCCGGAGAAGAAATAATTTAACTAAGAAAGCAGTTGCTATTCTTCTCCTCTAAATTCGCAAATTTAGAAGTATATATTAGATCTTTTGAGACTAGGAAATAAAAGAGTAAAATTAGGATCGGTATCAAGGTAAGAAGTTGCGCGAATCTATCAGGTCGAAAATTGGATAGCGGACGAACAGACGGTACACCCTTGTCAAAATTACTCTATGAGAAGACCACCCCGGATCTTAACTCCTCTGGTGCGATCAAACGAGTCACGAGCAGACCTATAAAGTTTTAGATTTTGAACAAAGATTTAGCAAAACTCAAAAAGAAAATCAATACAACCTGAAATTAGAAGTCGCTTATTTCAACGTCTTAGAAAATCTAGTTGAGCCGATCCAATACCAAAGACGAAACCATGTCACAAAAAAGACGAAAATTCGAATACTTGATGGGAAAGCGAGAAAAAGCTGACGATGACGAATAAATTTTTGAAACTGTTTGCAGTAAGCTTTCACAATAATATTTAAACTGTCATAAAAAGAGCCCTAAAATTGATTTAACAAGCCGTTTGTTTTTAATATTATCAATAAGTTTTCATAAATGAACTTTCTGTTGACTAACAAATCTCTGATACCTACTATATGAGAAAACTAAACAAGTCAACAATCAACGATATTTCAATCTTCAATCTTCACGTTTTCAGTTCAATCTTACCGTTGGTCATTGATCCCACTAGTGTTTCACCGGGAGAAAAATACAATCTCCAATCTTCCCGTTTGCAGTTCAATCTTCCCGTTTGCCATTGATCCCACTAGTGATTCAGCGGGAGCAAATTACAATTTTGCCACAAATTAATTATAAATATATTTCGAAAAGGCAAACCCCAAAAAGAGTTTTCAGTAACTAAATTCAAAAGACAGATGATAGATCACTATCTACCAAGAATCTGTAATATAGTATCACAATACGGCAGATTCAACATAAAAATTTTACCATTATCACCACATTCAAACAAGAGTACAACACCACATCGGATAGAAATAGTTGACATGGACATTCAAAACTCATCACCAAAACTTACACTGGGCAAAATGAGAAATCACATTGTTCTCTCAATTATCTATAGCCATAAATCTTTGTTAGATACTTTCAAAACATTTTATGTATCTTAACCACAAACATCACGTCACACATCAGTGAGAACAGAAAACTTCTTTTTTAATTTTAAGAATCGAAACTGCGAAAAACTCACCGACGCAGAAGTCTCAGTGATAGTGAAAAGCAGGCATGGCTTACAAAAAATGCTAGCATGCTTTAAAAAAGATTTTGTTGTAACATAACTAATATAATTTTAGCAGATGAAACAGAACATGATTGGAATCCACAACGATATCATGATATGTTTTTCATTATACCTCACGATATTTGAAGCTCAGCAATTCAAACTATTTCAGTTAAGAAAAACTATTTAAAAACTCCCTGAACAACAATTACTACAGCTTTAAAATACACCACAGTATTCTACAATAGGACTGTGTACAACTTTCATGAATAGACAAGAAAATCTAAATGGAACTACAGTGTTGAATCATCAAGTCAATCAAGCACCATCACATTTCACTTATGGAGAAATTGTTGAAACGCAGCCAGCAACAACGCAGCAAGGTATATCAACGATTCATCCAACGATAACGACACTATATTATACAACATTACCCCGTTTCCACATAGAACTTTAAAATCAACCGCTAAGCAAACAGGTTTTCCTAATTATTCACAAAAACTTTATCAAAAACGTAGGCCAAAAACCAATAAAAAACAAATACAGGCAAGTTTTACTTTGCAAAAAAAACAATATGATCACCCAATAACACGACTACTCTTATCAACGCAATCACAACTTGAAGAAAAAAACAAGAATCAGCGACTACCTAAGAACTTAAATCAACAGTTAGTAAAATTTCATGATCAAAGAAACACCAAATCAGACCGCGCTGAGAATTATCCAGTTTCTCAAAAAAAAATAAACCAACAAACTTCTTATCACAAATTTATCAATGGGAAAATAATGATCAGCCACATGAACATTTTCAACCAGATATTTTTGAACCCTATACAAATTCCTCACAAAATCGACCAATACAATCTAAAATTTCTATGAATCTGAAATTCAGACCACCAAGTCAAAACATCATCTTGCATCATCTTCAGGGTGGCTAAATGGCTTAATGTATTGTGAAGTATCATTCTGGGATGTAAAAAGCGTATTTCATTCCAT